TACAAAACAATTTCTTTTATTTTTATATATTATATAGTTTTTCTTGCTATTTAAATTTTAGATATAACGTATTATTAAAGTGCTTTTGTTTTTAAATAATTCTGTAATAATTTATGTATTAATTTTATACGATCATGATTTGTAAAGAAATATAAAATGTTTCGAGGAAATATGGCAACTTCGTTCGCGGTTTCTTATAATTTTTAATATATTGATGCAGCGTTTTTGAAGATGATATTTAAGGCTAGGCTATTTTAAGACCAAAAATTATATAACTATCGCTTAAGATGTAACTTAATTATTTCTGGTATAAAATCACAGAACATAGGGGTCGTTGGCATTTGGCATCAAAAATTGTTTTCGCCAAAGTCCTTCAAGTAATTGGTTTCGATTGTAAGTAAAGTGAATTGCAAACAATACAAGAAACCCGCTTTACCACATTTGGCAACTTATAGCTCAGTTGGCTCCCGAAAAATGCCGCCAAAACCAAACGAGCCCTATTTTGCGATTTGGCCATTGCTTGAGATGTAGTTCAACATGTAGATTTTTCTTCGATTAATAAAAAAGAATAAAAAAATTATGTATATAGGCCCTTTTCAATAACTAGAGACCATAGCTTAATAATAAATTTAAAAACCATTTTTATAAAATTATATATATATATATATATATATACATATAGTATATATAACACAATATTATTATGTGCAAGTTTTATGTCATACAATAATCTAACCTGAGATAAGTGCTATTTTTTTATCCGTTTTTTCTTCTAAAGTATCTAAAAACTAAAATATAGAGCAAAATCTTTCTGACATCAGATTAAATATATACAATTAACCTCATCTTTTTTTTATAAGAGAATTTATGAGTGATATGGGGTATAAAGTGTTAAAGTGGCCAATTATAGATCTTGATTTTTCGATGAAGTTCTTCTTAAGTTGGTCTCAAACACAGTTCATTCTAAAGGATTTATTAAGATCTCATTTAGAAAATTTTTACACTATCAGATGATTCAGATAAAATTAGATGATAATAAATGGTCAGATAATTAACTAGGTGATCTCTCTCTCTCTATATATACATACATATATTTTCCGTATTGTTGGTTTCTATTTTTAACTAACTATAATTAATTGCTTTGAAATTTATTTTTTAATAAGTACGCTCAACAACATTTATGACTTTAATTTGAAGCCTTATATATTTTGTTAAACTATTGTAATAAACAAAATTTAACTTTATTAAGCAAATTTATTCTTTATTATTTTAATTATAATCTTTTTTCAAAAAGAAAGCCAAACATTTTATTTTTTTCTACTAAATGAAATTATAGTCTGTGACATTTAAAAAACTGTATTGATAAAAGTCAACAAATAACTGCATAAAAACTGTTTTTATTGCTTTGGCTTATTAAAATATTTAAAAGTTTCATCATAAACTACTGTCTACAATTAGAAAAAAAATTGTTTTTCAATTAAATTTTTTTATGTGACTTTTCATTTAAAGGAAAAGAAAGTTCGTCTTATAGTATATTAGCAATACATATTTTTTCTTATATTTATAGACGCATTTTTCTATTTCTACAAGTATAAAAAAAAAAAAGACTTTTAGTAATCGGCTTACAATTTTTACGTTACCAATTTAAAAAAAAAAGAAATAAAAAAAAAAATAAAAAAATAATAATAAATAATATATTTTAAAAATAAAAAAATATTGGAAAAAATATTTTTTGCAATAAAACTAGTTATTCAATAGCTCTTAAATGATTATTTTCTGGTAAATACAAACAATGTTTCTGTTATTTCTGTAACTGTTTTCTGCCTTCTGTTAAATATTTACAAAATGCAATTCTAAAAATTAAAAAAAAAAAGGCATTTATTTTCATTTTCTCTTTCTACAGAGTTCTGAAAATATATTTCTTTTTTAGCTAATAATTTATATTGTTTGATTTTTTTAATTTCACTGAATATATACAATAAATTAATAATTTTATTTAGAAAATTAATTGTTTAATCATTTTAAAGTTATTATCTGAACAAACCCAATAATCACAAGACAAAGTAGTCTATGATTGCACCCATTAAAGGAATGTAAATGTGATATTTTATTTAAAAATAAATAAATAAAGCATAAAAACTGAAATTAAAATATATTAATATTAATATTTTTATTTAGAAAATTAATTATTTAATATTTTAAAAGGATTATCTTAATTCAAATCCAATAATCACAAGACAAAGTGGTCTACCATTGAAATCATTAAAAAAAAAGTAAATATGAGGTTTCACTTAAAATTGGAAAAACCCTACTGAAATTGCAATCTATATATATATATATATACATACATACATACATATATATATATATATATATATATATATTAAGAAAACAGTTATATATAATGTATAAAAACATATTAAATTTGCCATTAACATTTGAAAACAAAATACTGCAAGACAAATGCATTGTAAAATTATAATAAATATTAAATTACTGCTTTAAAAATAACATATACAAGATAATAAATAATAATAAAATGCAATAAATATATTTTAAAAGTAAAGAAAAAATTTGTATGAGTTAAAAATTGTTAGGAAAACACTAACTTTGTAACTAAAATATGTAATTTGAGATAAAATATTACAATATGTTTAAAACAATCACAATAAAAATTAATATTACAACATATTATGTTCAATATATAACGTGCTCTGTTTAATACAAAATATATACATGATTTAACAAAAAATTTCTATACAAACATGCATTATAACAAACTTTGAAATAAAATTTATCACAAAAAAATAAATAAAGATAACATTAAACTTAACGTATTACATTGAAAATAAATATTTATATAACATAAGTGTACTTTACAAAATACATCAAACATAGCATTAAACTTTGAAAATCCAAATAAAATATTTATAAACATAAAATTATAATGAAAAAATATTAAACTGAAATATATAAAGTTTGACATTAAACTTAGAAAATAATAATAAAAAATATTATAAAATTCACTTGAAAAGAAAATCCACCCTGAATCTGACATAAAAGGATTGAAACGGAACTTACAGAAAACTAGCATGAAAAATGTTTTTAGGAAAATCAAACATTGCACGAACAATATCTTAAACAAACAATTTACTAAACTTTAAACAAAACAGTAAGGAAAAAATGTACGAATCATAAGTTAGAGACTAAAGTTTAAAAGAATAAATGAAATATAAAATATTTATAACATGTAATTAAATAAAAAACTACCAAGAATTCAACTTTTCTGATGAAATTTACATTTTAGATTTTGATGTTTTGATCTCTTATTTGAATTTGTAAAGCTACGAGTAGTTAAACTTTTAAATTAAATAATACTAGGCTTATTATAATTAATAATTATTGTCATGATAGTTAATAAAACCATACGGATTAATAATTATTTGTTATTAAATCTTATTTAGTTGATTTAATTTTTTACATATGATCTTTACAAATGTTGTCTTACAAAAGCAAGTTTATTAATTTATGAGTCATTTCCTGTAATCTATACAAAAGGAGTGACATAAACAAAATCAAAGAGAAATAAAACAGTAATAAATCACACTGTTCAGAATTCAGTCTTGAATAATTTTTTTATTAATACTCCATGTACACAAAGAAAATTTAGAAAATAGATGTTAGAATAATGATATTCCGTTGTCATAAATCTTATTTCGTTAAAAAACGGAGCATTTATCATGGTAGATCTAATTAAAAAACAGATTTGAGTGTATCTGATAAAAAGTTTTCGATGTATTTAGATTATTTATTGATGAAACAGCGTTGCAATATTTTATGAAACAGCTCTGATTGTCTTACAAAAGCAGTTTTATTAATTTATGAGTCATTTACTATAATCTACACATTTGAAGCATCATAATGAGTCACGTAAAAAAATCAAAGAGAATTATTTGTCTCAAGCAGTAACAAATCGCACAGTTCATAATTCAGTCTTGAATACCTTTTTATGGAATATCAATGCATACACATTAAAAACGTTTTAGAACATAGATGTTAGAATAATGATATTCCATTGCCATATATCGTATTTAAAAAAAACGGATCATTTATCATGGTAGATCTAATTAAGAAACAGATCTGAATGTATCTTATAAAAAGCTTTGCATGTATTTAGATAAACAGCTATGAATGCATTTGATGAAACAGCTTTAAATGTATTTGATGAAAAAGCTCAGTTTTATTAGTTATGAAAAGTAGTTTTATTAATTTATGAGTCATTTCTTGTAATCTACACATTTAAAACATCAAGATAAGTCACTTAAACGATTCAAAGAGAAATAATTGTCTCAAACAGTAATAAATCACAGAGTTCAGAATTCAGTCTTGAATATCGTTTTACAAAATTCTCAATGAATACACATTAAAAAAATGTAAGAATTAGATCTTAGAATAATGATATTCCACTGTCATATATCGTATTCAATTTTTAAAAAACGGATCTTTTATCATGACAGATCTAATTAAAAAACAGATCTGAGTGTATCGGATAAAAAGCTTTTATGTATTTAGATAAACAGCTATTTATGGATTTGACGAAAAAGCTTTAAGTACATTTGATGAAAGGACTTTTGGGTATTAATGAAACAGCGTCGATAATATTTCATGAAACAGCTTTGATTATATTATAAAAGCAGTTTTATTAATTTATGAGTCATTTCCTGTCATCTACACATTTGAAATATCAAAATGAGTCATGTAAAAAAATCAAAGAGAAATAATAATAAATTGCACAGTAATAATAAAAAAAAAGATAAAAGATATTATAAAAAAGATATTCAATCTTGAATATCTTTTTAAGGAATACTCTATATGAAAAAAATTTAGAATAATGATATTCTATTATTACAGATCGTATTTTATTAAAGAAAAGAGATCATTTATCATGGTAACTAGATCTATAAAATTCTTTGTATGTATTTAGATAAACAGATATGCCAATGGCCGTACCATGCTGAATATACCGGTTCTCGTTAGATCACCGAAGTCAAGCATCATTGGGCGCGGTCAGTACTTGGGTGGGTGACCACCTGGGAACACTGCGTGCCGTTGGCAAATTTGGGACCTGAATGGCCGAGTGTCTAGCGCTCTGGCGCTCGGTGCCACAGGTTTCGGGTTCGAACAAACTTTTAAACCCGGCGGTGCCATGGATGTTTGTAGTGGTTCGGAATCCACTTTAAGCCGTAGGTCCCGGTCTCCTATGACTGTAAGAGCGTCACGGAGCAAAAGTCAGGCTTCTACTTACGGGTGCTCCATCACAACAGAAGCTGCTTCCTTCCCCTTCAATCAGGAGTCCATATGGGCTTGTGGAATTGGCCAGCCAAGTGGGATAAGAAACAACAACAACAACAACAATAAACAGATATGTATGCATTTGATGAAACAGCTTTCAGTGCATTTATTTAATCATATTTAAATGCGTTTTATGAAAAACCTTTTGGGGTATTTATGAAACAGCGATGACATTATTTGATGAAACACCTTTGAATGTATTTGAGGAAACAGCTTTGAATAATATAGGACTGAAAATGATGAAGAAATTGAATAATGAAAAACACTGATATTGAATGATGCCTGGAATTGAATGATAAAAAAACCTTTGAGAGTGTTGATGAAATAATTTTGAAAATATTTGATGAAACAACACTGAATGCACTTGATGAAACAGCTTTAACTGTATTTGAAGGAAAGCTATGAATCATAGGAGAAATGCTGAATAATTTATGATTTTATGACTTCCTATGGAAGCAGTCTTTATCAAAATTCTTATTTAAATAAAATGCGATAATTTGATTTGATCGAAGTTGAGTTATGTATGAAAAAATGTGACAATATAGTTTATTATCGGGTGATTTTAATATGGATGCAATCCACATCTATAGTTGATATTTCATTCACAATGGCTGAAGCTTATTTTAGAATATGATTGATAGTACTAATTAGATAACGTGAATTATTATTTATAAATTTAAATATAATTCACTTAATTCCTAAATCAAATTACAACTAAATACTTATGTAGTTGTAACATGATTTAGAAATTGTTTTAGATGTAAATTTTTTTGTCTTGCCATAATTTGATCTCAACATAAAAAATTGGACTATTTAATACAATATTTAATAAACAAATAGTTTTAGATTAAAACATATCCTTAGACCCTTTTTTATAAAAGTTAAAATAGATATCTAGAGACTCTTATTATAGATTGAATCAAATTAACCTGTAAGAAACAGACCTAGATCCAGTTATTGATTCAAGTATCAAATTTCTAAAATATAAATTATACTGAATATTTTTTGGAAAGTATTGAATAAATGGGATTTAACCAGTTTTAAATCCTAAGGAAATAAAAAAAGGGAGAATCAGAAAATTAAATTAAAATAAAATAAAGTAAAAACAAACAGAAATGAAACAAACTCTACAATATAAAATTTTATCCATTTAATTTTTGTAACTCAGATTAACGTGTTTATAACACATTAAAACCTTTTATTTTTTATCGACATTTAGTTTTTCGGATATGTGAAGGCAATGCAATTATATGAAAATAGATTTAAGTACAGAATTTTGCTTTTTTTTTTAAAAAAAATTATTTTGTTAAGAAAAGTTCTGCATTAAATACATTTCTTATGCAGTGGAAATAAACTGCAGTTTTCTTAATAACTTGAAGTACTTTCACTAAATAATAAATGCCAGAACGAAAGTAGACAGTTATCAAAAATTATTAAAATGCGTAGCTTGCTATGTAATAAACTGAAATAAATCCAGAAAAAATAAAGAACATATCCCGAAAAAAAAAAAATGGAGATATAGCTTTTCCGGTTCTTTGATGCTTTTTTTTTACTCGCTTGAATTGGATGATGTTTGGGACGTATCCTGTTTTCCCTGTGAGAATTTACAAAAAAAAAATTTTGAGAAGGAAGATCGAGAGAAAAAGAAAGAGAGAGATAGATAGAGAGAGGGAGAGAGAGAGGAGAGAGAAATAATGAGAAAAAAAACTCCCAGAAAACCTTTAAGTTAGAACCTAATCAAATTAGAAGGCATATCGCGTCACAGCTACGATTAAAAATGCGTTTTGAGAACGGATTGTACCTGCAACCGTACCGCCACCGCTGAATTATGCATCGTCTGCCGGCTGCAGATACCGAAGTGAAGTGAAAAAAAACTTGTAAGAGAAGAGGGAAAACCTGGAGAAGAAAAAAAAAAGGATTCTCCGTCGGGAAAGTGGGAAGTAATTTCTTAAGTTTCTCAGCAGTCCTTTCTATGACCGGAATAGATAAAAGAAAAAGAACTCAAAAAATAAAAAAATAAAAAAAATGATAATAATAATGAAAGTAAAAAGTAAAAAAAAAAAAGGGAAAAAAAAAGGAGCCGGAACACGATTGGAGGGAAAAAAAGAAGAAAGAAAACGAGTTTTTTTTCCCTTTTTTCCCAGTATTAATGGAAAACTGGTGTTAATAGCATTCTCTCCCGTTTCGCAGTTCGGACTAAAATGGCGATGCACAAAATCGATTAATTTAGAGATCAGCGTATGGAGCAATGCTTGCATCATTAGCTCATATCTCGTCTGCCAGTGAAAAGGAATTAAAGAACGTTCGAAAAAGGGGGTGGGCTATTAATTTATTGTTCCATTTGACTCGACCCAGTGAGCAGTTGACGCCGTTTGGACTCATTAGCACACTGTCACGTCAAGTTCAACCCCAGACATAATAACAAAAAAATAATCATAAAAGTCTTCCTCCAAAACAACAATGGACGGTGGTGTAGTAGTTAAAAAAAGAACCAAAAAGAGTTGTCCATCTTTCTCATTCTCTCTCTCTCTCTGTTGCCAGAAAAAAAAATCGAATAGATGGTTATTGAACCATTGAAAGGGCTCGACCCGAATGCGCAGTAATTGATTTGTGAAATTTCCGTTTCGTTTCAGAATGATTTTTTTTATTTTATTTTACTTTTTTTCATTAATTTGGCGACATTCTCTTGTTTTTTTGCGCCAAATTTTTTTTTCAACTCCTTTTTTCATTGTTCCAGTTTTAGTGACAATTAATGTGGAATGGCGTCGCCTTAAATTTTTTTTTTTTTTTGTCATTACAGTGCATTAGTTCGGTGATGCATTTCGGAATGAATTTGATTAACGCCTTGCAGCGGAAGGGTGATTTTAATCGGTTTCTTTTGTGAGAATTTCACGCGTTTCTGTTGTTTTTCTTCCCTCTGTTTTTTAATCCCCTTTTATTTTTTTTAATGGAAAAAAAAAAAACGGTTTGAATTTATTTCTCCTTAAATGATTTACTTATTTCATTTATGGCATTTACGGAACTTTACTTTGAATATGTTTTTTACGCTGCATTTGTGTTACAATGCATATGCATATGAATGAGTTTGTTCACTACTTTACCATGGAGGCACCATATTGATGAGTTAACACTATTTTTGATTCACAGCAGTGTGATACGAACACCAGTAAAAATTAATAACACTAGTAAATCTCCACTTATACTACTTGAAATTTTCTGTCCACAAATTTTACATCCATATCCAAGATATCAACTTTCAATGATGTAATTCTCCAAGTCAGAGAAAAACTTTTAACGATGCTTGCAGAGATTTTAACAGATATTTTAGTTCAAATGATGCCATAATCAAGTCCTTTCCTTGAATATTGGTCGCAGCAAATATCAATATTTAAGTAGTATTTATTAAATGCCAAAAATTAATGTAGAATATTGTTTCTTTCAAATAAAGATAATGATAATGCTTTGTAACGAATAGAATTTTTTTACAATCCATTTTCTCAACAGAAATATCTTAACATTTCGCAACCAATTTCCACTCTTTTTTTTCAATCAATGGAAAGATATCAACTTTCCACAGTTTTCTTCTTTACAATCAATGGAAAGATGTCAACCTTCCACAATTAATTTCCACAGTTTTCCTTTTTACAATCAATGGAAAGATCACAATCTACCACAATCAATTCCTAAAGTTTTCTTTTTCTTACAATCAATGGAAAAATTACAAATTTCTACAATTCCTTTTTTATAATCAATGAAAAAAATATCAACTTACCACAATTTCCTTTCTTTGCAATCAATGGATAGATCCCAACCTTCCACAATTAATTTTCCCAGTTTTTCTTTTTACAATCAATGGAAAGATGTCAACCTTCCACAATTAATTTCCACAGTTTTCCTTTTTACAATCAATGGAAAGATCACAATCAACAATCAATTCCTAAAGTTTTCTTTTTCACAATCAATGGAAAAATTACAAATTTCCAGTTTTCTTTTTTACAATCAATGGAAAGATATCAACTTACCACAATTTCCCTTCTTTGCAATCAATTAGATTTTCCCAGTTTTTCTTCTTTTTTACAATCAATGGAAAGATGTCAACCTTCCACAATTAATTTCCACAGTTTTCCTTTTTACAATCAATGGAAAGATCACAATCTACCACAATCAATTCCTAAAGTTTTCTTTTTCTTACAATCAATGGAAAAATTACAAATTTCTACAATTCCTTTTTTATAATCAATGAAAAAATATCAACTTAATCAATGGAAAGATGTCAACCTTCCACAATTAATTTCCACAGTTTTCCTTTTTACAATCAATGGAAAGATGTCAACCTTCCACAATTAATTTCCACAGTTTTCCTTTTTACAATCAATGGAAAGATCACAATCTACCACAATCAATTCCTAAAGTTTTCTTTTTTTACAATCAATGGAAAAATTACAAATTTGTACAATTCCTTTTTTATAATCAATGAAAAAATATCAACTTACCACAATTTCCTTCTTTTGCAATCAATGGATAGATCCCAACCTTCCACAATTAATTTTCCCAGTTTTTCTTCTTTACAATCAATGGAAAGATGTCAACCTTCCACAATTAATTTCCACAGTTTTCCTTTTTACAATCAATGGAAAGATCACAATCTACCACAATCAATTCCTAAAGTTTTCTTTTTCTTACAATCAATGGAAAAATTACAAATTTCTACAATTCCTTTTTATAATCAATGAAAAATATCAACTTACCACAATTTCCT